TACTTGCAGTCTGTGAGTCAGAACAGCCAGCATTGTAGTCTATTCTCCCAGGATCAGGAAACAGTCCTGTGCTGCACACATCTGAATATTTGGGTTGAAGTGTTCTGGAACAGTGTTGTAAATACAACTTAACCAGTTGTAATTTCTAGTCGTGTCCTCTTTTGGAAGGCCAAACAAAGTAGTTTTGCTTTCACAAGCGTCACACACGGCGGGCTAGAGTGAGGAACGGCCAGCGGGCTAGAGTGAGCGGCGACGGGTGGGCTAGAGAACGGCGCGGCCGGCAGATTTGATGAAGGAGTGGCCGGCGGGCTTGCGGCAACCACATGTGACGACCCCGGGCTGGACTCCGCTTTGTCCACGGTGAAAGCCGATCCGGCGATCCACAGCGTGAAGTTGATGTATTCCCTCAGCGACCAGCACGGATCAGCTCTAGGCATGACGAAACGGATATTGTCCTCTTTTGGAAGCCCAACCAAAGTAGTTTCGCTTTCACAACGAAACACACCGCGTCTCCACAACCTGGCGGCGGCAACAATACTACAGCGAGAATAAAAGTTACGCCTTCTTTCTTTGCGTGAACATTTGGGCAGCGTTATGCAAATCTTCCCACATCGTGACGTAGACATGTGGGGGTGTGTTAGAATGAGCCGTTTTAGGTAAGCGTGGTTGACTCTTAACTTTTATAAAGAATATCTCTTTGGATTTGAGACTTTAGTCTTTGCAACTTTACAGATCTTCTTTATGCACCAAGAGCTTGTAACACTTCAAAGAGAAAGGAAAAATTTTAATCGCATCATATGACGCCTTTAAATGAAAACTTAGTAAATGAATTCATCTAAAAACTGCAAACTGCGGTGTAGAATTTTGAATTTGTAGAATCTGTCTTGATTTTTGTTTATTAACCACTAAAGTGAGATAATGGTGGCGATTCCATAGCATTTAACCTCATCACACAGCAGACATCATCAGACTCACAGATCGCTGCGGGAGTCGCCTCCCTGACTCTGAATCGTGACTTCTGAGTAAATTGGAGCAGAAGTGCCACAGTTCAGATGAAGGTGTTGCCATATTGCAGCCCCTCCACCCCCCGTTCACTTTCATCCCAGATCGCAGTGATAGTGATGACGGGGAATCTCCACCATTCTGCTGCTAATGAAGGCACATGGATGAAAGCCATTCATCTTCAGTCAGTACATGGCAAAAACACATCCAGATGCCCCTAGAATAAATTCTACTAGACTATTATTGATTATAGTTGTGATATGGTGAAGCCGTAATGAAATATCTCAGCAGTAAGTTAACGGGCATGTCATTTGTGATTAATGCATTGAAAGAAACCATGTTTTATGAAACTCTGCCTTTTCATCAGAAAAAAAGCTGCAGATGTCGGGCTTTAAGTAATGTTTTCTTTGAAATTTTTGATTCTTCAGATTTCAGAGCCTACAAATTTATTTCTAAATCGTATGCTGAACAGAGAGACCATTACAAGGATTACATATAAACGTAAGTGTCCGCAAAATACCTATGTCTTTGTTAATGTTAGTGGCCTTGGGAGCACTTTTTCACACTCGTTAACTTTTAAAAGTTGCTTTTGTTAGCATTAAATTAAATGAATATTGTTTTTATTAACATTGAATTTAATTTATGTTAATATTGTTAACATTAAATTACATTTGATTGAAAACTGCTTGCATCTGTATTAATAAATCAAGTGGTTTCCACAGTCTGGGTGTGAAATATTGCTTCAGTGAAGGCCTTCATAGGTGAAAAAAATGAAAAAAGACAATAAAAACGTAGCTTTGCATTACCACCTGGTGGTCTTGGATAAGAAGTGATATTTTATTTCTCTCAGCATTGCCATCAGAACAAAAAAATAATAGTAGTGGTATAATAATATTCTGTATTGAACTGTAGGAATGTTGACAGCATGGAGAGGATCAAATATTCAACAGATTTCATCAAAGTGTGTTCGATTCATCTCAACCCGTCGGCTGTTTTATACTGTGTCTTTTCAGATGATGCATACTTACTGATGGGGCTCGATATTGAGGAGCTGTATCCCGAAACCTCCCGTTTTATCACATATGAAGGGTCAATAACTATTCCACCGTGCCTTGAGACAGCAACCTGGATATTAATGAATAAGCCAATTTACATCTCACAGATAGAGGTGAAATGCTGAATACTCCTTAAAATATTACAAAAGCATTTTCTTAAAAAATTTAACTTTTTTTTTTTTTTTTAAATGTAATTTATTGCTGTGATGCAAAGCTGAATGTTCAGCAGTCATTACTCCAGTCTTCAGTGTCACATTCTGATATGCTGAAACATTTCTTATTATTATCAGTGTTGAAAACAGTTGTGCTCCTTTTTGTAGAAACCATGATACTTTTTTAATAATTATTTTATTTATAGATATAGATAGATATAGAGAGAGATTTCAAAAGAACAGCATATTTAAAATAGTGCTGTCAAGCGATTAATCATATCCAAAATAAAAGTTTTTGTTTACATAATATATGTGTGTATACTGTGTATATTTTTTATGTGTATATATAAATACACACACATACAGTATATATTTCGAAAATATTTACATGTATATATTTATATTCATATCATTTATATTATATAAATATATTTAAAATATAAACAACTTATTTTTCTTAAATATATACATGCACGTGTGTGTATTTATATATACACATAATAAATATACACAGTACACACACACATACATATACATATACATATATATACAGTGGGGCAAAAAAGTATTTAGTCAGCCACCAATTGTGCAAGTTCTCCCACTTAAAAAGATGAGAGAGGCCTGTAATTTTCATCATAGGTATACCTCAACTATGAGAGACAAAATGAGAAAAAAAATCCAGAAAATCACATTGTAGGATTTTTAAAGAATTAATTGGTAAATTCCTCGGTAAAATAAGTATTTGGTCACCTACAAACAAGCAAGATTTCTGGCTCTCACAGACCTGTAACAACTTCTTTAAGAGGCTCCTCTGTCCTCCACACGTTACCTGTATTAATGGTATCTGTTTGAACTCGTTATCAGTATAAAAGACACCAGTCCACAACCTCAAACAGTCACACTCCAAACTCCACCATGGCCAAGACCAAAGAGCTGTCAAAGGACACCAGAAACAAAATTGTAGACCTCCACCAGGCTGGGAAGACTGAATCTGCAATAGGTAAGCAGCTTGGTGTGAAGAAATCAACTGTGGGAGCAATTATTAGAAAATGGAAGACATACAAGACCACTGATAATCTCCCTCGATATGGGGCTCCACGCAAGATCTCACCCCGTGGGGTCAAAATGATCACAAGAACTGTGAGCAAAAATCCCACAACCACACGGGGGGACCTAGTGAATGACCTGCAGAGAGCTGGGACCAAAGTAACAAAGGCTACCATCAGTAACACACTGCACCGCCAGGGACTCAATATACATAATAAATATACACAGTATACACACATATATTATGTAAACAAAGACTTTTATTTTGGATGTGATTAATTGCGATTAATCGTTTGACAGCAGTCATTTAAAATATAAAAATTTTGTAATATTGTAAATGTTTTTGTCACTTTTGATGAATTTAATGCATTGTTTCTGAATAAAAGGTGAAAAAAATATTGTTCTTTTAAAAAATCTTACTAGCAAAATATATATTATATTATATTATATATTATTGGTTTATATTTCAGATGCAGTCTCTTCGTCTCCTCAGTCAAAACCAGCCCTCTCAGATCTTCCTCAGTATGGGTGACAACATGCGGCCGGCGCAGCTACTACACCAGCGCTGCATCCGCACCAACATTAACTTCAGTCAGAGACGGGACTGTCCTAACAACCGTGTGCTGAGGCCGCAATACAGAGGTCTGTGTCACACTTCCCATCAATAACATACACAAGCTTTGTGTCACGAGTGCACTGCTGCATGCATGCTGTGTGCAATAAAGTTGAGCACTCTAATTAGACACTTACGATTATTGCTCTTGAAACAGATGAAAATCATACATTTGTCTTTATGAATAAGTGTTGTGCTTCACAAAGAAAGTTATCTGACAGCACATTCTCTACTTCTATTTTCAGTGAATGAATGGCTTCTGAAATAACAGCTTGACGTGGATTAGTTACTACAGCAATCAAGTAATAGCTGAAGAATATGGCCAACAGACAATACAATGAGATGAAGACAAAGGACTTAACAGAGGACTCTTATATATATATATATATATATATATATACTTGTTTATAACAATATATATCAAAGACATTGAAAGCTGTTGCAGTCAGACAGGACTGGTTCTCTTTGACGCTGGCTTTTCGGCTCACTCTTGAGGTACTATCTGTTCTTGTTGTTTGCATCTGAACAGCAGGTGCAATCAAGCCTAGTTGCAGCGAATGGAAAACTACCTTTGCTCTATGCACAGGTATATAAACTTTACTTTGACACAAGGCAAACAATAGGATTTCAAGCCTATATCTTGGACTATTTGGAGCATGTTGCCTTCTCTACGTAAGTGTTTACAGTGCTAAATGAATTGAGTGATATCTGCCCAATAAATATTTGAAGTGGTCGTGGTGAATGTTTCTCTTTACTTTTTAATGATGTTTTTGAATCTTGGGTATCACAAAGATGCCAAGTTGATGCCAATGGATTGCCAGTAAAAATTAATGGATAATTCAGTCTGTTGAATATTGTTGAATAATATTCTAAAATGTTGACATAGTGCTCAAGCTTTCAGGTGGATTATATGGATTTATGATATGAATATTTATAGGGTGGTGAATGTGTAATAGAGTGTTACAGAAAACAGACAAATCTGGTCAGATTTAGCATCAAAAACGGCTATATTTTGTTGGATTTAAAGAAATATTAAGCATTTAAATAATTTTACATTTTTTCAAATGTCTCACTTTTTAGACTTGTATGGTTATCATTCAATGTAATCTTTTACATCTAAATATAATCTAAAACATAGTCTTACAGAGCATGATAGATTTAACAATTATTATTTATAATACAAAATTTTGCACTAATTTGATTGTTCTTTATAGTTTTATAGTTTCAAAAATGAAAAGAGAAATTGAAAAGACAGCTCTTAAAATCTGGCAAATAGTTTTTGCCACTAAATCTGACAAAAAGGGGTCTCTAAGATTAAAGTCTCTTATGCTCACCAAGGCTGCACATATTTGGTAAAAAAGTACAGTAAAGCAGTAATACTGTGAAACATAACAATTTACAAGAATTGTTTTCTATTTTTAATGTATCACATTGTTTTAAAATGTACATGTAATGAATCTCATTATTTTAGGCATTGGCAAAGCTGAATAAAGCGTCCATTACCTCGATCATTTTAACACTGTATGTACATCTGAACAGTATGTATATATGACCAAGTTGGGTAGTTTTGTTTTCGCTAAATCTACCTAAACTGCGTAGCTTTTGTTGCTCAATCGGACAGAATGCACAAAAGTATGTGGCAGTTTTACATTTTGGCGCCCATATTCTCTCTCCTCCTGGCGTCTGGTCAGTACAGTATTAGTTCGTGGCCACTAGGGGGCAGAAATGTGCTAGAAAATCGGGTCAGATGCGGCTCAAAATGTGTCACACACTCACTCACATCCTGGCGGAGCACCATTGAGGGAACAAAGCACTCTGGGGGTGAGTGCTCTCTAACGCCGTGTCGTATTTCAAGCGATTGTTTTCCACAAACAGCTTTTTATCCGTCTTATAATATCTCAAATATACCCATTTTAAAATGCAGTTCTTTGACATGTATCGTGATTTTAGAATCTTAAAGCGGTGTCCGACTTTAGCTATAGCCCGCTAGCTAATGCTGTTTCGATAACAACGGGTTGTTTGTAAAATATGAAATATTAAAATCCTTTTATAAACGTTGAACACAGTACAAATAATTTAAAACGCACGTTCTGCCTGAAATGCAAAGATGAGTTGTATTTCATATGATATTTCACACTTATGTTATTCAGCTATCGTTAGCCTGTTTCATTCATTGATGTTTTGCATGTTAGCATTGCATCGACTCGCATTCATTTCCTCGGGATGCTTATAGCTCGCCAAGTACAACACCTGTACAATACATTGCGTGTTAATTACAATTATTTGTCTTTTTCGCCATGTAGCTGTCGTTTTTATACATTTATCTTTAAATAAACCTCTTGGCGAGCTGCAGGCTCACTCGCCTCATTGTGTGCGCCATTATTTGTATTTAGTAAGTAAGTTACAGTCCTGAGATCTCATTTAGTTCTCCTTAGATCCACATCTTAGTTGTTGTTATATAACAAACATGCAAACTGTGGCCAGTTCAAACTAAAAAAAATTCGAATTTCACATTTAAAGCTAAGCAGGTGGGTGTATTGTTGTTTAACGGCCAGAAAATGTCCGATTTGATCAAAACGCAGGTTGATATGATGGCAAGTTGTTGTTGTTTTTTTGCACATATTGAAAGCATGCCCCAATTCATGCCTAATAAGTTTTTGCCCTATTTCAGAACCAAATGATGGGGATAGCCTGATATCATCAATCCTACAAACAAGATGTCAAGTAAGAGCACATTTCGATTGATTGATTAGACCACTTAGATGGTTTAGACCTTTTTGAAGCCCACCCATCTTTATCAGATCTTCAGAAATGAGTTTATTAAAGATGCTTAACCATTCATTTATTTGATATTACCACTTTCTCTAATTAATCTGTAAAAGTGGGTGTGCTTATCTTGATGTAATTGACTAACATTTCTGGTGTAACTTAGTTTATACACATTGCACTGATGCAGATGTGACTAATAAGTAGGCTTTACCACTGGTTATTAATTTTTGATCCGAGTTTCGAAAGTGGATTAATTCCCCCCCCCCTTCTCTCTCACGCAGAGCGGCCACCCTATGCCCCAGCCCCCGCCCCAGCCCCCACAACAGTAAGTAAACAGAACATGCCAATCATCCATACGGTCCCTCCCCTCCATCACCCAAACATGTACCATAGGTTTCTTAGAGATGAGAGGAGAGGATTGTGGGAACGACACAGTATCACATGGGGTGGCTTTTGTTATTTTTTTTTTATGCAGTTTTACACAAAGCGCTCATTTTTTGAGGCTGTATTGATCCGTAAGGTGCGAAGGAGACCGCTAACTTTAGGCTCTGAAAGCATTTAATGAATAACCATTAGGGCTGCATTGCAATATTTAGTTTTTCTGCGACTTATGAAAAAATACAGGGATTTTTGCAAGATTGAGTTGAATAGAGTTAATTATTCTAGAATGATTGGGGTGATTTTGTCAAGTGAATATGCATAGAACATAAAAATAATGTTTAAAAAGTTGGAAAATTAAGTTTTTTTTTTTTTTTTTTTGGGTAAACCATCATTTTGGAGCTGACTGATTTGAGAAAAAACTTCAAAAAAAATGTGGGTGTTTACATTTGAGTTTCACATTTCACATTCCCACTGTTTGATCCATTCAATATGACTAATAATATATATTTTTGTAATTAAGAGTATTAAGCAAAATAATACATTTATTTTAACAGTACTATTAAAGTTAAAAATAAAAAAATAATATTACAGCTACGAAATTAGAATACTACTATCTGCACCTTGTTTTCTTTTCATTTTTAAAAGTTAAACAAGCTTTTATTTTGCAATAAACAAGTTTTACTTTTACATGCTTGGTGTGAAGCGTGGTACAGTGTTTATTTATCCGCATGCAGCTCATGATATGGTGTTGCAGCATCTCAGAGTGGCTTGGTTCATTTTCTGTGATGGTACCATGAGGTGCATGAGTGTAAATGAACAGTGACGTGCGTCACTCTGAAACCCACAGCACATTTGTTCATTTAATTAAATGGCAGGCTTCGCGATTTGATAATCGCACTCTGATTTATCACAGAATGAATTTTATTCAGATATATTTTGCGGTCATATCACAATATTGATTTTATTGGGATATGTTCTGCAGCCTTAACTTTATAGACTCGTGTGATACACGTTACTGGTTATTCATTAAACACTGTTTGGAGCATTAAGTGTGTGAGCCTCCTTTTGTGCTTAGGCTTTCACATATTTAATCATTGTTCATTACAATAGATACCGAGAGCCGTTAGCAGCAATTTAGCATTGTTGCTTTGCTCCACACGCATCCTTGGAAATCTCAAGTCCCTTACGGTTGAAATTTGATCCAAATCCCCATTAATTACTTTTAGTGTCCCAGAACTGTTATTTTTGTCGGTTTAGAGACTGATTATTCAGGTCATACGTCACCGAGAGATTTGGCTCAAATACTCCCGATCTGAATCTCTAAAGCCTTCTAGCACCTCATTATGTCCTACCACCACCACCCATAGTGCCTGTGGCTTTGCTAAAAATGGATGTAGAATAATGCTAGGGTTGTGCTGCTATCAAAGATTGCTGCTTTTTGCATGTTTTATGCAAATCATGACAGAAAACAAAAGCAGGTTCTCCTTTTCATTTTTTTTGTCCCTTCCTCCCTTGTTTGTGTCATTTCTCATTCGTGTTTTGTCTCATTTGTCTCCATCAGCAAATGCCCACCACCCCTGGGTTTGTGGGGTACAACCCATACAGCCATCTGGCCTACAACAACTACAGGCTGGGAGGGAACCCCGGCGGGAACAACAGGGTAATGGTAGGACCGGTGCCAACTAGGGCCCTAGCAACAGCCGAGGGACTAAAAGCCCAGACAAGAGGATGCTAAACTTACATGGCCTGAATATGAAATAGTGATATGCTTTGCTCTTACACTGTACAGACTCATTTAATAGAGTTGAAGGTGTCTGTCGGGTAGTAGAGTCGAGTCTTGGGTGGTTGTGTAGTTCTCAACTAGTAGCTTCCATAATCTTCATGTTTCTGTGAAGCACTCACTCTCTGTAATGTCTGGATGGGTGTGATTGCCGTAGTATGAATTGTAGATTCAGAGTGGTTGCTTCACAGAACTTTTCCCCCGTCTGCCATCCTATCACCTAATCATGCACAAGAGCTAATGGCCGTCCGCTTGCATGGCTTTAGATGTCCGTGCCAAACGCAGTAACTTGGCACAGCTTCTTGGCAAGCTTGAGGCATTTTAGCTGTTGGCTGGTTTCATCCAAACTTCTGCAGAATCATTTCAGGCGTGAAAGACAGTGGCTTTGTGTCCAAAAGACCTTAATGCATGGCCTTGTCAGCGTAATGTTA